TTTTACATATGCCATTCAATTAAGATGAGTTGAGGTGTTTCTATGAAGAACTTAATCTAAATATTTGTAATTTATACTTCACATTTTAGAGATTTCCAATTGTTTTTGTAAAATTCAAAACTTCTACAATAAATACAAATTTTAGTCATTTATATCCAACTGAGTTAACAGCCTTTACACTTGTTTTGGTGACTGGCCAATAGGTGCTTTGATTATAATAAAGTGGGCCCTTTAGTAAAATTATTAAAGATGTAACATTAATTTTATTTTAGGTATTATAAAAAAGTTGCTGTTGTTAAAGAGAAACAAAAACGGGATGCAGATGAAGAAAGTATAGAAGATGTGGATGATGAGGAATTTGAAAAGATGATTGGTAATTTGTAAAATAATTTATTACTATTTACTTATATTACCATAGAGTATTTAGTTGTAGAAGTGACCTTAGTTTAAAAAATTTATTTAACTAAGAATACCATGCAAATCACAATGGAGGATTAAAACATATTTTGGGGAGATATGGTAATTTACCCACCTTTGCTCCAGAAAAATATGTGATTGTTCTTTGACAATTTGTGGAGGAAAAAAATTATATTTACCTGAGCATATTCATTCTTAAGGCCAAATCTATAGAAGAGAAACCATTTTTACTGTTGTTAACCTCCTTGCATTATTGGTAGCAACAGTCTGCTACTTAATCTATTTTATCTTTATACTCCAGAAAGCTAGAAAATTTTAATTAAAATTTAGACTGAAACAGGAAACATGGGAAATTAGAAGGGCTTACATTGAGTTCACTTAAATAGTTCTAATAGAGTAAAAAGGACAGTAACTAAATATTTATTTGATATTTACCTTCTTATAAAACTGTAGAAAGAAGCTGAAATTAACTGGAACCCATTTTAGTTGAGGAATTTAAGTAAGGCCAGAATATTCACAGGTTTATTTTGTTTTTTGTCATAAACAGAAAAATCATGACTGTTAATTGATTCAGAAATAAGACATGTCAACTTTGTTGTTCTTTGTTATATCTCACACTTTATATGTTGTTATCTGGCAGATACATTTGAAGATGATAACTGTTTCACCTCTGGAAAGGATGATCTTGATTTTGCTGGGTAAAATACATTTCTTCAATATTTTTTTAACTGTTTTCTCAGCATTTCCCAATGGTCCCTCAGAACAGTAGAGGTATTAATAAACTTGGGAAATGGATCCAGTGCTTTCATTCTGGACCTTTTATAATGCATATTAATATATTAAATAAAGGCTCCGAGCCTTCTGTAATTCTCCTTTAAGCCTGTTAATAGCCTAATACCTCTGGTAGGCACCAAGCCATGTTTTAGAAAACCGTCCTCTTTTACATTACAAGTTGTTGTTTTTCTTCAGCAACATGAAAAAGAAAACAAAAGGAGCGAAGGGTGAGCCAGAAGATGAAGATTCAGAAGATAGTGATGATGACTTTGATAACTTAGATGATGATGAAGTTTCTTTAGGAAGTATGAATGAAGAATTTACTGAAATTGATGAAGATGGAGGAACATTCATGGATGTGTTGGATGATGAGAGTGAGGGCATTGAAGGTAAGCATTTTAAAAATTAAAGACAGAAACAAACTAGATCTTCCTTTCTTCCTCAGCATATCTGTGATATACCTGTTGAGCTGTTGTGTTGCTTCCTTTTTAAAATTTTATTTTTTCCAACACCATTTATCCCTCTTCCACTCCCCCCCAATCACCAGTTGCTCTTTTTAATGTTAAAATACCTAGTAATTAGTGTTTTCTAAAAGTTAATAAATATTTATCATTTAGCATAACCCTATAGCAGTCTTATTGCTTTTAAATTACTTAATGGCACCTTTTTTGGTAACAGACCTTAATGATGAAGTCAGCTCCAAAGTCAATTCTAATAAAAGCAAGAGGAAAAGTGCAAATGATTTTGACTTTGCTGAATCATTTCAAGGTAAGAAAATGCATTTAGTCCCTTTGAAACCTAAGCAGTATGCAAATGAAAGTTATTATTCATTATTCTTTTGGGAAATTAACTTTTCTAAATTGCTGGTTAGTACAATTAGTTTGTTTTTATAATGGATAATAACAGTTTTATGTGAAAATTGTTATTTCCCACATACAGCTTTAAGTATTTTTTTCTTCCTGAATTCTTTCCTCTTACATCTAAATATCTCTAGATCATTTCTGTTTAAAGCATTCAATTATATGTAAGCCCTGGTTTTCCATAGATACCTTTTGCTTTTTCTCAACTAAATCTTATTCTTTGCCATTTGACCCTTCTGAAAATCCATGCTCTTTATTAATTTTATTTTCCTTTTTTGAGATCTGCCATCTTGCTGCCATGTCAAAATAATTCTAACCTCACAAATATCTTATATAAAACAGAGGAATTCTTTCAAGTATATCATAACGTTATTTTAAAGTAGCACTTGTAAGGTACTAATAAAAGAAAAAAGTACTATTATCCAGTGACAGCCTTAAGTTTTTGATAAAAATATAGACAGCAATCATACAATAAATATTTTATCCCATAATTCTGTGGATAAGTACATAAGTGCCCTGGCTGGTGTGGCTCAGTTGGTTGCACCAAAAGGTTGCCATTTTGATTTCTGGTCAGGGCCGGCTCGATGCCTGGTAGGAGGCATGCAGGAGGCAGCTGATTGATGTTTTACTCTCACATCCATATTTCTCTCCCTTTCACTTCCTCTCACTCTAAAAGTCAACTAAAAATCTTAAAAAAGAAAACACAGACTTGTGCTTTTTTTCATGCTTTGACTCTCTACCTTCTGCTTACTAGTACTGATGTTTAAAAATAGATTTGCAAAGTTAAAAACACTTGACAATATTTTATTAAAATTAAATACTTAAAACTTTGACATTAAATATTTTGACAATAAATACAAAAAGTAGTAAAAACTATATCTTGGTAGTAGTCTCAGATTTTTTATGCCTACAAAATTTCTATCAGCTCTTTCAAATACCGCTAACAATCAGTCCTGTTAATTAGCTTGATTTACCTGGTACATATTTAAATTTTAATATCTTCCACACTTTGTTTTCATCTGAGTGCTGTAAGGTCACATGTTAATAGTAGCAAATGCTCAAATATAAGGCAAAGTTTTCCTCAAAATCATCTCACAGGAAATAAATGTTGCTTTAAAACAAGTCCTACTGAGCCTGTCATTAAAAAAATACTCTCTCAGTAACCTTATTTATATTTTTAAAATATATTTTATTGATTTTTTACAGAGAGGAAGGGAGAGGGATAGAGTTAGAAACATCGATGAGAGAGAAACATCGATCAGTTGCCTCCTGCACAACCCCTACTGGGGATGTGCCCGAAACCAAGGTACATGATCAGCTGCCTACTGCACACCCTCTACTGGGGATGTGCCCGCAACCAAGGTACATGCCCTTGACCAGAATCGAACCTGGGGCCCTTCAGTCTGCAAGCCAACGCTCTATCCACTGAGCCAAACTGGTCAGGGCTCATTAACCTTATTTTTTTAATGATCAGTACTGTTTTCAGAAGACAATAGTCTGAGACAATCTAAAATCTTAATGGTTTTGGATGCCGATTAAAGTGTACCTAGTAGAATTGATTAAAACAAAACAAGAAGCAAAGGAATTTCAGACTTATTAATTGATCCTGAGGGCTCTACCTTAATTTACAAATGTTGGATATTCTTAAGGATAATCAAACCTTGTAGCAGAAGTGTTTACTAATTGAAGTTATAGCTCTGTACCTATAAGATGAATGAAAAACAAAACTTTCCTAATCCTATGCTAATGAGCATTTTAGCCTAAGATAAAATATTCAATAATAGTATTGTGAACAATTCTTAAATAATATAACATACATTTCACTTTGATAAAAATTAAGATGAAATGCTCTAGAAACTATTTTATCAAAAGTGGCTCTGGTATATTCACATAAAGACTTGTACACAATTGTTCATAGTGGCATTATTCATAATAGCCAAAAAGTGGAAACAGCCCAATGTCTATTGACTAATGATTAGATAGTAAAATATGGTATAGCCACGTAATGGAATATTATTCAGCAGTAAAATGGAATGGAGTGGTGGTACATGCTGTAATATGGATGAGCTTCAAAATTGTTATGATAAAAGGAAGAAGCCAGATACAGAAAACCACTTACATAAAACTAGGGGCCCAATGTATGAACTCAAGCGCCACAGTTGTGGGCCACGAGGCTGTGGTGGGCACAGGGCTGGTTCTCTGCCCATCCTCCATGCCCCCGCCCGGCCTCTCCCGCCTCAGCCCCCGGCCCTTCTGCCGGCAGCCCCATTCCTGCCACTCCCACGTGCTGACAGTGCCCGCCGCACTCACACCCGCTGACAGCACAGAGCGATTGGGGCCGGTGCCAGCAGCAGGTACGAGCGGCGGCTACTGCCCCAATCACCCCTCAGGAGCAAGGCACAGTGGAGAAGCCCTCAGGCATGATCAGGGCCAGCAGCAGGTAAGAGCAGAGTTGGTACTAGCAGTGGATGTGAGCAATGGCTCCGGCACTGGCAGTGGGTGCGAGTGCCTGGCAGGACCGCAGTGCACGGGAGCAAAGAATTTTCAGTAACCACCAGAGGCTTGCCCTGATGACAGCAACCAGCACCCCACCTTGATCTGGCACTCCCACTCATCTGCTCCACCATCCCACCTGCTGCGGACGCCTGCCATGTTCCACATGCACCCTCTGGTGGTCAGCACACGTCATAGCAATTGGTTGTTCCACCGTTCAGTCTATTTGCATATTAGGGTTAGATAGATAGATGATAGATAGATAGATAGATAGATAGATAGATAGATAGATAGATAGATAGATCGATCGATCCAGAAAAAGCAAAGCCTTCATGGGAGGGATCATGTTACTACAAATGGACACTAGGGATCTTTTGTTTTACTTTTTTATCTATTTTGAAAAGTTTACATATCCAGAATTATAGGTTTGTTTTTTTTTAAAGGAGAACCACTTTATTTTGAGTGGTGTAAATAAAACTTTATTTATAACATAATAAACATACCTTCCATAAATTTCTTCACAGTCCAAAGAATAAAACCTCTGGCTTAATTAGAATTTACATTTTGCCTTAAGTATTCCAAAATCTATCCATGTCAACTTTGGAAATTTAATCGTGCCTGATACAATGAAATAGGATAAACTGTGATCAGTGGCCAAATCTGAAAGGCAAGAAAACATAAAATCATCTGAACAATTCTATTAGGATACTTTTTCTTAAATACATTTCTAAGTACCAGCTACCTAATGGTGTTAGAAAATAATTGCAAATTTTGTACTTTATCCCCAATATAAATTTTTTTTAACAAAGTCGTGTTGAAAGATTTCTATTTTTCCAAAATCATTGGAATTTACAATTTAATAATCTAGGTTTATACTTCTTTTAGGACCCAGGAAAAAAAAGAAAAGAACTCTCAGTGACTCCAACCTATTTGTATCTGCTGAAGAGGTAAAGGGTAATGTACTACTTTGAGAAGTTAGCTATTCAACATTGTTTTAAGTTTTCTGATAAATGTATTCCCCCACCCTTTCTTTTTTTTAAGTTTGGCCACCTATTGGATGAAAATATGGGATCCAAGTTTGACAACATTGGCATGAATGCCATGGCTAACAAAGATAATGCAAGTAAGTAACTTGAATTTTTCTGCTAAGTGACTTTATAAATGGTTTTTAGACATTTTAATTTTTTCTGATATTCATAGTTACTGGCTTCTGTTTTTTGCCAGTAAAAGGGGTTCAGGGGAAATAAACTCTTGAGAGCATTTATTCCTTCCCTGACCTGGTCTTTTATAAATAAAATGGTAATCTTTGACATTAAATATAGAAGGGAAGTAACAAATAAGCAGGGGATTTACATTGTGGTTGGGAGACAACTGTAGACGCTGGCAGACCAGAAGCTCCTGTTACTCAGTAGGATGTTCTGTGGGGCCTCCAAAAGTCTACAGTGGGGTGTGCTCATCTTTATTCTCCCCCAAAGGTCTCAAACAGCTTAGGTGGGAGGCGGAACGTGATGACTGGCTACACAACAGAGACGTGAAAAGTATCATCAGGAAAAAGAAAAATTTCAAAAAGAAGAGGCCAAAAACACCTCAGAAAATTAAAAAGCAAAGAAAATGAGTGTTTTCTAAATAAATTATAAATTCAGATTGTACTTACTCCTAACTTTTGTTGTTCAACCATTTTTCTTGATCTTGCTGTCTCACTCCATACATTCCAGAACATTCAATGGATTTGTAATAAACTGTAAATTAAAAAATAGTTGTCATTTATAAAATCATGTAAAAATGTTAAAATTACATCTTTATATATATATATCTGTATATATAAAGAGCCAGGGGTCATTGCAACCGAATGGATGACCAAATAGGCTGAGTGGGTCGACCAGGACGGCAGGGGGTTAGTGAGGGACGACCAAATGATCGAACAGCAAGCTGTGTGGGGCGACCAGGCCAGCATGGGGGTCAGTTGGGGGTGACCAAGCCGGCAGGCAGAGGTGGTTAGGGGTGATCAGGCTGGCAGTGGGGCCACTAAGGGCGATCAAGCAGGCAGGCAGGTGAGCAGCTAGGAGCCAGCGGTCCTGGATTGTGAGAGGGATGTCCCAATCCTGAGGGATGTCCTCAGGATCAGGCCTAAACCGGCAGTTGGACATCCCCCGAGTTGTCCCGGATTGGAGAGGGTGCAGGCTGGGCTGAGGGGACGCCCCCCCGCGCACGAATTTCATGTACTGAGCCTCTAGTTCTATATAATAAGAGGAACATGCTAATTAGCCATTACGCCCTAAGGCGTAACAACCAAGTGCATCAAGACCCCATCACGGATCAGCAGGAGGGTGGGCCAGTGAGGTACAAGCAGACTGTGGAGAGCTACAGGCGGGGGCAGGGCAGCAAGCTATAGGGGGAAGAGGGGTGGGGGGAGCTACAGGAGGGCAGCAGCGACCTAGTGGCACATGGATTCGTGCACAGGGCTACTAGTTGAGAAATAAACTTTCCCTTCTTGCTAGTATTTCATGTAGAAGCTCTAATACCTGTACTAATAATTGTAATGAGCACTATTAGGCAAATACTATGCTAATTACATAATGTTACCTCATTTGATCCTTATAACAATTTGTTAAGTGGTATGATCATCTCTACTTGACAGAGAAAGAAATAGCTCCAAGATGTTAACAAACCTGAAATTGGTTTTAAATTGTAAGCTGGGTTTGATTCCACCACCACCTCGGGTATGTCTCATTCCATAGTCTACATTCTTAACTACTGGAAGAATTAAGAATCCAGCCCATGAACTAACTGCTCTCATCTAGATAACTCTAGGTGAGAATTTTCTCTATTCTCAGAAGGAGCCAAAATAGGGATGAATAATATTTTTTTTTAATTAACGTCACAAAATAGTTATTTTGCCCTTAATTGGTCATAAAGAAATTACTATTTAGTTTATATAGGTTACCTGAAAACATCTTTTTGTAGTTTTATTTTTAATTAAGACAAAAGTTATAGATAAATACCTATAAGATGAACAGGATACCTGAAACATACCTTCCAAGATGAAGGGAAATTTCTTGCTCATTGTTTGCCTAAAATCTGATGGGAAAAAAAATCTTAAAATTAGACATGATTAGAGATTCATTATATTAAAATATGCAGCCATATTTTAACCTTAGGGCGTATAAAGTAGGGATACCACAGATTAGAAATTTTTGTTAAGGTCCTGGTAATCCAGAAACTATATCCTTTTGGGTCTAAACTGCACTTGCATATAGCCTTCCATAGTTATTTCAGAGTTTTAACATTTTTGACCTATATATATGATGTAATTTACTTAGAAGTGGTATTTAAAAGCAAATTTTCAATGTTAATGTGTAATTCTCTTATGTAACTATTATTTTTATGGATGCAATTTTACCTTGTTTTGGAATTAGAAATAAGACTACAATACCCAGTTTTTTAAGTTGATCTTAAACTTTAATTTGCTTTTAAATACTATTTGGATGTTTTTTTATATACCCTTACTTATAGTTTAAAAGCATAGAGACTGCCCTAGCCAGTTTTGCTCAGGTTTGGGCATCAGCCCAGAGACTGCAGAGTCTTGGGTTTGATTCTGGTCAAGGGCATGTAACTTGGCTGTAGGCTCAATCCCTGGGCCCCAATGGGGGCCAGTGTGGAAGGCAACCAATCAATGTGTCTCTCTCACATCGATGTTTCTCTCTCTGCCCCTCCCTCTCCCTTCCACTCTCTAAAAATTAATGGAAAAAATATCGAGTGAGGATTAACAACAACAAAAGCATAGAGACTGAATATCCAGTAGCATCGTGGAACTGTTCCGGTGAAGTACTTTTTAAGAAAACAAATGACAGGTTTCAAAGATGGCCACCACTGGGGATTGCTATTCCCTGCTTTAGTAAAAGAGAAAGCAGCACTTCCTACTTTGAAAGTTTGTGAGCCCGGCCGATGTGGCTCAGTGGTTGAGTGTCAACCCATGAACCAGGAGGTCACGGTTTGAAAAAATAAAAACATACTTGGGGGGAAAAAAAGTTTGTTAGCTCTCAGATAAAATTTCACCTCACAATAGGTCAAAGCACTTTCAGTAATAGCCAGGGCATGGGAAAGGGTTTCAGTGCCTAGTATGGATGCAGAACTCTGCAAGCCTAAGAAACTGGTTACTTTGACAATTTGGCTATGCTACTCTCAGTCTACCAAATAGTGAGGTGCATTTGCTACATCTGTGCTCCCAAACTAAGCCAGACTAAGGACACTAGCTCTATTACCCACCCCTGCACTAGGAAAACCCAGGGAAGTGTGAAACATATCCCCTAGTCTGCAAACAATTTTTTAAATATATTTTTATTGATTTTAGAGAAGGAGGGAGAGAGAGAGAAACATCAATGATGGGAGAGAATAATTGATCGGCTGCCTCCTACACACCCCCTACTGGGGATTGAGCCGGCAACCCAGTATCGAACCTGGGACCCTTCAGTCCATAGACCAGTGATGGCGAACCTATGACACGCATGTCAGAGGTGACACGCGAACTCATTTTTTTGGTTGATTTTTCTTTGTTAAATGGCATTTAAATATATAAA